CTGATATTGACAAGCTAGAATATACAATAAGAACCTCCTATCTTTTCTGTTTGCTGAGATATCACTCATGTACTGAATCAAACACAGTGGCCCTGCTAACCTCTTTCCATTTTTGGAAACGCTCCCTTATATACACTTACTTCTGTCTATGGCATGTGAATAACCAATTGAAAGCTCAGAATGTTCCCCTAGTGGCTTTCTCAGCCATTTTCAAGTATTATGACGTCATCTCGTTCTTTCAATACAAAAATTCAAGTTGGTAATTTGAGTCTTTAGTCTGCTTGAAATTTAATTTTTTTTTTTACCCAAATACAGCTTAGTTACAAAGCTTGGTAAATTATAGTGGAATTCTATGGTATCGAAATAGTAATTTATGATTTTTTGGTTATTTTAAATGTATATATAAAACTTAAAAAAAAATTATTTCGTTTCACACCCTCCGCGTGTGAAATTTTATAAGGCTTAGCAACCTATGACAAGCAGGAAATGAGTTCAATGGTCATAACTACAAGAGATAATTGTGTGCTTCACTTCTTTATTTACTGTTCTGTGTTTTAATAAAAATAAGTTCTTCAACTTATTTGTAAATAGTAATAATGTACATACATATATAATGTATAATAATTGAAATGTGACTGTATGTCACAAAGTACTAGTCCACTAAAACACAGCCAAGACAGGTCACTTTGTAAAGAATAAAGGCCAGTTTCATATTATTGGATATGGTAACATGAGTGCACATGCACTGTGTCATTGTAACTTCTGTATCTTTAGCCAGGCACGGCTGAAAGGTCAATATAATAAAAATAATAAATATATATAAATGTATAATGTTATGAGATTTAAGCCATTTCATCTAAGCATTTATGCTTTCGTGTTATAGTTTGTGTTCATTCTGGAATGAAAGATACATAATTTATGTTTATTTCTTAATTTTTTATGGTGGTTGCGAGATTGATCAATTTTACCGAACCCGTACAGAGATTAATTACTGAAAATAACATAAAATATAAAGTTTTTCTCAAGAAAAGTTTGATAACTATTTGGACATTATAAAGATTTTGCATGTGAAATTTCAAAATTTTCTGATGCATAAAAGTATGTTTAATGTTAAGATGAAAATTACTTTGCATGGTAGATTGGCAAGACGTAAAAATAAAAAAAAGGCATGAGAGAAACATTGCTTTACAAACCTTAACACTTAATAAAAAAATTATATATTTTGCATATGAAAGCATTGTAAAGTTTACTGATAAACTGCCAAATTTCGTTAACATTCGCTTACTAATTTAAAAGTTATAGATGAAAACTATAACAAGCATAAAATGGTTACAAGGTCGGACCCACAGACTGAGCCTGGGTTGAAAGAGTTAAGTAGAAATGAAGTAACCCTCTCTCCATGGGCACCTTTTTCTGTGCATGTTACAAGGCTTTAGTGAGTTACATTCAAAATGTAACTAAACCACTTTCTTTCTTAGTATACCAATAAGTATAGCATAAAAATGTAGCTAATAAGCCATATCTTAACAGTATATAAGTTTTAAGTTCTTAACTGTATCAGACAATATTAAAAACAACAACCCTAAATTTCCCTAGCATGAGAATTGTGACATTTTCTCTCTCTAGGCATCCCCTCTTCTCTAATTTATTTATCACCCCTCCAAGAAGTATCAAATTTAACATAAATTACTCATTATAATGTGATCAGCCTTCCGGCAAAGCATAATTTTCAGAGCCTTCAATCTTATTTAGTTAGAGTTGTAAAGTAGAAAGTCAGACCCCAACTTGTCACACCCTCTCTTTCACAAACTGCCAATAGTTCTCTTTAAGGTTTAATACTATATTATTTATAACCAACAGAGAGCCAAGGTTTTAATCTATCAAATGACATGTTATATTACATTGTTTTCTATACAGAGAATTGTCTATTTTGCTTCCAGTTCACATCAACAAGCTTAACTGAATTTTTAATGACTCGTGTTGCATAGTTAAAAAAGACAGAATATTTGTGATAGTTACAGAGCATTGTCTGCTTTTAGAGTGTTATTATACTGTGTTCTTTGGTGCATTATTTAAAAAAATATTTAGTGCATTAATAACATTACTATAAAAAGTAGGGTTAAGTTTCATCAACAGCCAACAGCAACAAAACACAAAAACACCCAGGTAATTATTATATTTCTTGTTTTTATGTGTATTCTTTAAACTTCTTAGGTTAGATAAGGTAGATTAAAGAATAATAACAGCAAAAAGTTTCACAAGATACAATGGCAAGTAACTCATTCATTATATAATTTGATAGGGTAAAATGAGCTACACATTTGCCAAGTTATTTACAATTTATGTGGTGGGAATATTAGTTACACACAATTCAAAAAACAATAAAACAATAACATTTATGTATAAACAGATGTATACTATTACAAGTTTTAAGCTATTTAGGATAAACCAATCTAGTTTCATGCTATAATTTGAAGTCATTCTAGAATGGAAAAATGGGTAATTTAGATTTATTGCATATTTTTCTTTTTTTTTTGGGTGGTTATGAGGTCAGTCAAATTAAACCCGCCTTATACAGAGTTAGGGTACAGAAAATAACAAATAAAATGTAAAGTTTTACTGAAAAGAACATTTGAAGTTTACCTAGGAAGTTTTAGAGATTATGCAAATGAAATTTGAGATTTTTCAGATGAAGTATTTTTAATCTTAACATGAAAATCACTTTGCACACAAAACAGTCAGCACTTTGACTCCATATATTAATGGAGAAATTTTTGGTGAAAATACTTCATTAAAAATTTTGATTTTCTGTTTACAAATGACTCTTAATGCTTACTAAAAGCTTGCAAAATTTTGTGAAGATACACATAACATATTTGAAGTTATAGTATGAAAACTCAAAAGTTTAATTGTGGTTCCTTAGGTCGAATTGACCGAGTCAGTAGTGGGATAGTTAATTCTCTTAATATGTCTTTATATCAGGGATGAGAACAAAAGATAAAACTTGTGGCTGGTCTTGTGTCCCAGCCCATAAAATCCAGAAGCCTAGGCCTCTGGAAGCCAGTGGGGTCTATGTATTTTATGGTTCACTTTAGGCCATTTTGTATTCACATTATTTACTTCTAGGATGATCATTTAACATTGGACTTTTGCTAACTTTAACTCATGTTCTAGTGATCAAAATTAGAAAACAGTTAACATACAAACTGTCATTTCATGAAATATCAAGATGGATATTGCAAACAAGTGTTTATTCAGTTTTAAAAAAATGTAATCATAGAAGCAAAAAAAATTATGGCAATAAACTTAACTTAAACCCAAAAGTTAAGTCCACAAGAAAACAAAACCCCAAAAATTAACATAATTCCAAAATTTGAAACCTTGAGTTTTCCATAACTTTGTGTATACAATAAGGATTAGGAATGTAAGTGACCAAAGAATTACTCACCACATTGCGATCAACACGAGGTGTTCCACTGCTGTATGTTGTTGCTAGTGTAGAAGAGCATTCCTCCAAGTACCATGGTTTTCTTCCGTGTTCTGTGGCACTACTAATTGATAAAGTGTAAACAGAGTTAGTGTAACCATCACAGTTACAGTTGTCTTGCTGACGTCCTCCATTCCCAGAGGCCCATACAAAGATGGATCCTAAGCCTTTTCTTCCCTACAGTACATGTAATAAAAAGAAATGTTACAGATACTTACTGATTATGAAAGTCAATGTTTCTGCACAAAACATACTGAACATATTGTGAGAATCTAAGTCAAGAACTATATAACAAAATGATACCTCATTACCAAAGAGTAGAACAAACTATTTGATGAATAAAAATAAAATAATTATGACACCAAGTTCACATACTTACAACATATGTTACAAGTAAAACTTCCAAAAATTTCTAATGGCAATTTCACCACTTCAAATAAATTATAAATACAACAATCAATAACACAGTTAACTAACCAGATTTAACTACTGCCACTGTTTGTTTCAATTTTATCTACATCATTGGTGACAAGTACAGCCAAATAAATATAACTACATTGTGTGATAACATTTAATAAAACATTTATTACAAAAAATTTCCATGTTACCAAAGATACAGCATTATACAAGTTTTCTAATTGTATATAAATAATACCAAAATTGGTAACTCCTTGACAATACACAAAATTAGCAGTCAAGGCTTGAGCACCATTTATGGGACGTTGCAGTAAAGAACTTCCACTTCTTGAAATCTGTTTGTAGTTAATATAATCGAGAAGTGGAATTGTCCCTATCTCCTTAAGTTTAAGCAAAATAATATTTATTCTAATTTGTATGCCTACACCCAGATAAACTGTGAAATTTCTGTCATTTTGCATTTCTGTACCTGATTTGATAATGTTTTCTTTTAAATATTACCATTAAAGATACAATATTGATACAGGTTTTTTCTACTTCTGATGCTCTATTCTATATTAGTTTGTTTTCCCTTAATTAAACATGGTAGTGTACAACAGGCACTGGTTAACTGTTATGCCCATGGGAGATCAGTGGTTGTTTACTTCAGGTTCCCAAATTTCCTTATGACAGGCCATTAGGTGTATATATTTATATTACTATAATACAAATGTTTAAGTATATCTTTAAGGGAACTGATAAAGTATATAAGATGTTAGTGCTGTTCATTCTTAAAGTCATCTAATATTTCTATTGAGTAACAAAGTTAAAACTGGTATAGAAACTTCAATAATAATATGTTTAACTAGTAAAACATTTTGATGAAGCCTATAAAAAAATCATTTATTTTTTGCTTAAAAACTAAGTATTTTTGGTCTAAACTTAAGGCCACTTCATGTCATGTGTGACTTTTCTTTTGCATAACCTAGTAGAGTAAAACTTAACCAATCACTCTTTTTTTAAACATGTTATAGCTTCATATTGTTGCAGATATATATATGTAGTTCAATAAAAGTTCATCAATTAAAAAGAAAAGGAAATGTACTAAAGGAAAAGTTATTTTGCTTAAGTATCATGCTTTGATAAAAAAATGGTTTTACTACCTTTTTTTCTGTTGAAGAGAAAAGGAAGAAATTCATGACTTTTATTTAGTTTGAAAAACCAAAAATACACAAGTAGTTATAACTATCTAATCTATACAGAGCAGATCAAATGGAAAAATTATATATCAAGTGATTATGTGATCTAATACCCTGTGCAATTACATTTAAATGATTAAAAATATGGTGTTTTTATCTACAGTTTTTTAATACAGTTTCAACAAGCATATCATCTTTTTATATAAAAAAGTAAATTATACCTTTGTGATACCATCAACAAAAGCAATCTTTGCTAAACGTCCTGGTCCATCCACTGTTTTACCATCATCTTCAGGACCCCATGAGGCACTATAAATGTCTATATATTGAGAATTTAGATTAAGTGCTCTGGCTTCCACTTCATCTGTTACAGTACCATCAAGCATGCGTACACCTATAAGTAACCAATACCATAAATTAGAGGATTTCTATACAACTAAAAGACTCTTATTCACCATGTGTGCCAATAGGCAAAGTATGAAATTTCAAAAAGATATGCATAACATAACTTACCTCTAACAATGAATTATCACCATTTAAGATACAATCTAGCACTCATGTAATTCTTGTCTGTGCAAGATTTAAACCACTTTTTATATAACTTTTATAATTTCAACACTTCAGTAGTACAACTTGTAAAGCAAAGTTTCTTATAACCTAAACTTAATTTTAGCTGTAACAAAACAATGGTCAATAAAGTGTAATGAGTATAGCTGAAAATAGCCTAATAAAAGTACGGTAAAATATCAAAAGAACTATTCATTTCAAGTCTGTTTTTAGTATAATATACAGACTTATACACTCACTAGCTTCTGCTTATTCTGTTTTAATGAGTCAACAGAAACATTTGTACAGAATAAAAATACAAATATAACTGTAAAATACTTTGTAACAGTGGCTAGTGTCATTCTATTCCATTTAATATAAAAGTTCTCTCAATACTTCTTAAACATACACTAAATAACATCGCTAGTGCAACAGCTGAAACACACTAACAGTACCTGAAATATAACTGAATCACAGACTACATAACAGCATCCATATAACATCTGAATACTACATAACAGTACTTAACAACAGCTGAAAAATACTATAAAGGATATGTGCATTATATTCAAACAATTTTGGTGCCTCACTACATTGTCACATTCCATGTTGCCACATTCAGTCATGCACCATTTGATAGCCATGTATCTTGACAATAGCCTCTTCAGTTTAGTTTTCATTGCAAAAGGCTCTGTCATAAGGCTTTCATATGTCAAAAGTACACCACTTTTCCCCATATGCTTTTTGTTAACCAGTTAGAATAAAGATGATGGTTTTTCAGTATAAGATTCATCAATCCAATTGCACAGAAATCTGCAAGTGCTGCATTTGACAACTTGACCAGTATGTCCAAGTAAATAACATATTCACCAACTAATTGAAGTATAGAATAATTTAAAAGATATAGTGTGGAAACAATCTGTGTACATATGAGTTGTGTCACAATTCCAGATGAAGATCTTTCTTGATTATGTCGAGTACTGTTACCTGTGACACTTGGACAGCTTTTCCCACTGAACCTTTTGTTTGTGAATTCTCACTTGCTACAATATGCTGCACTTTGCTTACCACAGCTGGGGTATGGCTTACTGCATGTCTCTTTCTGATTGGTCCTGGTTTCCCAAGTCCATTTATATTCTTTTCTTTTCCTATGACATTAAATACAAGGAATATCCCAGTCTTACAAATTCTAATTCCTGACCTGAACACATCTTTATGACCTGAGTGTATGAATATTTTGGATTGGAAAAGGATGTTTCATACCCTTCTCATATTTTTGCTGTCATCACATTACTTATGAAATCCCTAACAATGTCAAAATTTGGTTTTCATACATTTTGTTCCACCATCACTTTATATCAGCTGTGAATGTCATGTAACTTGTAATTTGCATATTCAAAATCACTTTAGTTTAATGTGCTCAAACTCTGTACATAACAGTATCTGAAATAAAGCTGAACAACAATATTACCTAACACCACTCATACTAAAACTAACACATATACTGTATAACAGTACTTAAATATTAGCTGACACATATGCAAAAAATCACTAAATTGGCCAAAGTCTATTTGTTGGTTGATGCTCTAATAAGTTTATCACTCAAATTTTAGCTGAACAATTGATTACAAGATTCATAACACGTGGGGAGATACACAAGGATCAAGGAGAAAACTTCAATAGCTATTTGTTTGCAAAATTGTTAATTGAGGTGAAAAATGCACTCACCATGTCATAATCAGTTTGATGGATTAGCTGAACGAGTAGTACCAACTGTCAAGTGGATGCTTACATCAAGTTTGATCAAACTGACTGGAGTGAGCACTTAATGTATTTCATAATGGTGTACCAATCAGCTGGTTATTCACAAATATCTTAATGTTTGGCTGAGAAGTACAGCTCTCAGTGGATTTGGTGCATTATCCTCTACCCAATGCAACTGTACCATCATATTCACAGCAATATGTGGATTGACTGCATTTTGCAAAAGATAATGCATATGAATTTGCACATCAACAGTTGCATAAAGAATCAAAAGGTACAGTTATGGTGCACGCCAAAAATACATAAGCAACTCGAATCTGGTTAGACTGGCCTATGTCATGCATGTCGACAGCTCAATGAAGTGAATTGTAAACAACATAAATTGGGTGATATATGCAAGAGTATCAAACACATTGTGAAGTTTAAGCTTTATATCACTGAGAAGACTCATTGTTAAGGAAAATTCTTATAAAGCATTTTACAAAATATGTTTCTTTAAGCATTATTAATTTGTTTGTTTGTTTATTGTTAAGCATAAAACTTAACACTGGGTTATCTGTATTGTGCCCATCATGGGTATTGAAAACCAGTTTTTAGTGTTAAGCCTCCAGACTCACTGCTGAGCCATTAGAGACAAACATTATCAGAAACTTAAAAGTACACTGAAGTTATAATTTTTCCACACTGAAAATGTATTTCCGATAGGTACTTACCTCTTCTCACACAAATTTCTATTCTCATTCAGTGCTGCCCTCTATATGCAAAAAATATATGCATATCACAAGCCTGCTATCTCCCCTCCATTGGTATTGACCGATTCCAATACGTCTCTCATGCAAATCATCATGACAATAAGAGTGAACATACTCTCATGATGCATGTGACTCCCTCTATTCAATTCTACTGAACTATCACCTGGAGTTTTAGGAGAAAATGGAAGAACCAGTTTTCAGTGGGAAGGAAGGGTGGGAAGTGTGAGAGGAGATAAGTACCTATTGGAAATACATTTTCAATGTAGGAAAATTATAACCTTCAATACAGTACATTACCTCTTCTCACATAAATAGATACAATCCCACATTGAATAGATCGAGAGACTGGTGCAAGGAAAAGAAAGAAGTATCCTTCAAAAACATCCAAAGAACACTCCCTAAGATAAGACAGTCAGATTCTAAGATCTGAAGTGAGGAACACACCACTTTTGAACCAGATATACTCTTCACCCATCACATGGGTGGAAAACAGAAGAGCAAATCCAATTGGGGAAGAACTATGGCGGGAAAGTAATCTAAACTATGCAATATTTAAGAAACTCAATCTCAGAAATTAGAAAAGTTGGTAAAATGAAAAGAATGAGCCCCTAGGTGTAGAGTGGCTAGGGTACGACAGACCGTACATGGCAAGTCAACTACATCCAAAACCCATGCCACTGGGAACCAACATCCTTGTGGGGGTAGGATGAGGATCATATCACCAGCAAGTTAACTACAATCCAAAACCAATGCCACCAAGAAACAACATCCATGTGGGTGTAGGAAGGAGGATGATACGGTGACAAGTCAACTACAGTCAAAAATGTAGCCATCTAACAGGGATAGGAAAGAAGGTCATACCATCTTCATCTCAAGTTCATGAGACCAGAGGGACTCATGAATGGGGCACATGTGAATACAATAAATTGGTTTTTATGATCCAGGAACCTGACATCCAATATAAAAAAAATGTCTACATAATGTAAACCATCTCCCTCAAAAGTGAAATTGACTGGAACCACACCAAGCACATTAACATCCTCAGAATAAGAAACGTCAAAGGACAGTGGAAAGGAAAGAACTGTAACAATCTGAAATTTCCTCCACCGTGACCCACAACACTGATGGAGTATAAATAATGGAGGAATATAGACATGTATGAAAACTTATGTTGATTGATTCAAGTCTAAATCCAAAACCCGGCCACTAGGAACCGACATCCACATGGGGGTAGGATGAGGAATCCCAATCGAAGGGGAGAACTGCAATTTGTACGTTTCACTCCCATTTATTCTTATGTTTCATAGCGGAAAAATTCCATTTGCGTTGAGAAATTTCCATGTAGTAAGGACGAAGTAAACAAGCCAGAAAAGGGACTAATTGTTGGGAGAAGCCGGATCACCTCGCCAATATCAAGAGGAAAATCATGCATGAAGACAGAGGACTGGAATGTCTGGATGAAACACCAGTGACTAAGGGTGGCAATGTAGGGATGGAGGCAGAGGAAAAGGTAATGGAAGAGAAAGTTAGAACTGGAGAAGCCATGGTGACCACAGCTGAGACAGCCAGGAAAAAGCTATCAGAAGGACTGAACACAGAGTGTCGAGGATAAACGAAATCACCCAGAGAAGAAGGAGAATGGGAGGATAGACAAATGGATAGACAAACCTGGCTGAAAACATCGATAACCAAAGCAAGAAGACAAGGAATCGGAAACCAAATCCAAGACAATTTGTGGTTAAATGACGTAGCAAATGCCTCAACGTAAGGAGTACCCCACTGAAGTCAAAGCCACTGGAAAACAAGAAGATCAAGAGACCACTATCAGATAAATTTTGTCTGGACAGGAATCTGATATATGACAAGAACAAAAACACCCTGAACATGACAAGCAGTGAGAGAAATATCAAGCTAGTGGGCCCAAAACAAAGATCCAATGTATAAATACAGATGGATGAAAACAGGCACCACTCTAGTGATTGAGTAAACAACCACTGAAGAAAAGTCGGAATGAATCATTACCAGACAATTTCTGGCCAGTTTGAGAAAATTAATCAAAACATGAAATAAAGCAAGAAGCTCCAGGACACTGATAGGATAAGACCTCTCAGCTGCAGCCCATGAAAGAGCCCGCATATGAGCCTAATCTAAGGAGATAAGGGCTACAATGGAAGATCACGTACCCAAAAGCGAGAGAACTTTGCGAACTGTAATCAAACTGAAAAACCCATCGAATGAAGTCAAACAGGAGAAGAGTGGGCCCGACTGAGATGTATGTAGAAAAATAAAACACCTAAATGGACATGATATTGGATAAGTCACAGTAAAGACTTCTCCAACTTGATTAACAGCCCAGACCAATTCGCATCAGTGATACCATGTGTGTAAATTGAGAACCGAGGATGACAAATGAACCAATATGAAGGGAATAAGGAATTATAGAAAAAAATGCCATATTATGCTTAGCTGATTCTGCAAGAGGGTTAGGGAAAAACATTGCAAAATCCAAAGTGTAAAAAGGCTATCAAATCTTCATCAGACGGAACAGGTTTGGCTTGTTCAGGAGAATTAGTGGGGCAACTTCAGAAAAAGAAGGTTGACCCATACAACGATCAATCTCACAATAGCAGAGAAAATAGCAAAGTGTTTAATGAAAAATATGAAAGTGTGAGAAAAAAATAAAGATTGGAAAATTAAGTTAAATGAAATGATTCCTTCAATGTAAAGAAAACAATAATAATGAAATCCCCCTTATGGAAATTAAACTACTAAAATCATGATTCACATGAAGAGCACCAAAAGAAAAAGCTTCTGAACATGACTACTGCCAAAAGAGAAGTGACAGTTCGGTAGAATTGAATAGAGGGAATCAGGTGCATAATGAGAGTATGTCACACTGTTACTGGTGGAGGGTTGATGCATGATGATTTAAATGAGAAATGCATTGGAATCAGTCAATTCCAATGGAGGGGAGATAGAAGGCTTATGGCATGCATAAAAAAATTTGTTTTGCACATAGAGAACAAGAATAGCAATTTATGTGAGCATAGGTAATGTAAAGTATTGGAAAAACATGTTCAGCACATTTTTCTATTCCATATCAGGTTAATTTGCTTAAATCAACAAACATTCAATTTTATTCTTACTATTTTGTCACACTACTTGAATAGATATAAACATATATCTGGAAACAAAATATATAACTTAAGTGGCAAAAAATAAATAAAAACTATAACATTTAGTGTCTATTTCCAGTTCAGACACAAATTATCTCACATATGCTGAAAAACAGTACTTGGATTTATACTGAAACACAATATAACACAGTATTTTATTACAAGTACATGTATACCAGTTAAAAGAAACAAAACATATTAAATAATACTTGGACATATGACTAAATAAAGACTACATAACAGTCCTTGTACCCAAATTTAGTATAGATTAACCCTTTGAGTGCGTAATTCAATTTCGGATGGGTTCTGGAAGGGTGTCAATTATCCACTAAAAATTGAAATTTAGAATTTGACCTTTTTTTAGTCCTTTTCCAATATCAAAATCCACTAGATGCACTTTTGCTCAGTGATGTACACACAAGGTACTAAGGCGGGAAATTCAAGGACGTGTGAGTATCCTGATTGTCACACAAAGAGGAAAAGTTTTGTGACATCATGGGGTAAATCCGCTTGTCTCATCAAACGGCTATAAATGTCAAATCAGTTAAATCCAATTGTAGCATCCAAAGGGTTAACACCTTTTTCAAACATATGTTATAATTTAAAAACCATACAAGGCATTTTAATGGCATTATACACACTCCAGAATATAAATAGCTGCCTAGAACTTTGATTAAATGATTTCTCTAAAACAATTTCCAAATGTAATTCAGCCATACAGCTAAAGTAACAACTGATTTAATATTTAGAAATATGATTTACCTAACTTTGGGCAAAAAAGAATTAAAACAATAAAGTAATTAAGAAGTAGCTCACCTCCGATACTGGCATTATAAGCAATTCCAACACCACAGTATTCATTGTATGCAGTAGCAGCTACTTCTCCAGCACAACGAGTTCCATGTCTACATCAAAAAACCACAAATATTATGCAGAAGGAAGTCCTTCAGTGGAGGTGTAATAGAAAAATTTGATATACTTTTACAAGATGTATCAACTCATTGTTGTTTAACTTGTATATAACAATGTTTTGGGACAACGCGGGACCAATTGGTCC